ACTTACTGTATTGGTTCCAGTTCGTGTATCCTGAAAATTTGCTGTACAGAATGACGTTTTTGCGAGGAAGGAAACGTGTCTCCCATTTGCAGTCATAGGAAGTGATTCCCATCCATCCGGCATCTCTGGAACAGCCGCCATAGTTCCTGTTGATGAAGAAGTTGCGATTGTGCCTCCCGGGAATAGAAACGATGTTCTTTGGCTGAGATTTCATGTCTTTCCAAGAGCTGTCAGTGAGTTTGCTGGCCGAGAACCAGTTCAAGTTGTTTGTTCCCTGTGCATTGAACTTCACTTCCTTGACTAGCTTTCCACCTGTATAGAGGGCAACTCTCGCCTGAAAGAAAAAAAGGTGAAAGAAAAGTTCCTTTTTTACCAGTTTGGCAACAGGAAGTCAAGGAATGGATAAGTTCGTAAAAATGACATCACGGACCTTCATTCGCTTCAAATGTCGTAATTTTATTCCACGTGATAAGCGAACGTTTCTATGGTGACCATTTCTGATCGACTTGACGCTTCCCGCCCAGAGTGATGATTAAAATTGTTTTTTGCCCGAAGCCAAATTCGAATGCATAATAGAATTTATGATTTTGAATAATCAAACATTTGACAGTAATGAAATTCTCATTTACTCTTCCTTTTCATGTTTAAGATACCTCAGACGCCCCAAAGTCACCCCATTTCAAAACTATTCTGTTCTTGTAGTGATCCTTGTGCTTGTTCGTGACGTCAAGTGCAGCCATGTTTTTCTCAGAAGATGTTTGACGCGAGATGTAGGTAGGGTACGCCCCCTTATTGACTCCACTTACAGCTTTGAAAACCATAGTCCAACCTATTAACCAAAAAAGGATTTCTTTAACAATTTCTTTAAAAAATTCCTTTGTAAAGATAGATAATCGTAGTAAAGCTTTAAACAGCACCAAGCTTCAATTTAGGAAGGCTACCTGCTTCGAATTAGCAAGATCCACAGGGTTTCCAAAGCTTTCAACATTTCATTTTCGGTGCAAGAAAACGCCGAAATCTTTTGGAAATTTTTCTCCACTTCACAGCCTAGTACCTCTCTTACTCGTCATCTGCCACACAGGAAAGAAGATTGATCTGCACTTGCAATACGTCATCAGCCCAGTTTCCAACCGCAGTTAATCTTTTGTAGACCCTTACTAACAGATAAACGTGGTTTTGGGAAAATTTCGTTGAGTCTTGTAATGTGAAATTAGTGTCTAGTACTTACCTCCGGCAGCCATGTCACAGTAAACTGGGAATGTGTTTTTGAAGTCTGTTGATAAAAAGGAGAACATCGAATTACAGTCCTTCATGAAAAATTTAACTTCAGACCAAAAGTTGAAGTCTGACGAGATTTCAGGATCATGGTTTAAAAGATTTACGAGACATAAAATTGATCGAGTTACCATAAATTTACCGGTATCGAGATTTTCGCTTTGTTCACGCTGTTGGCAGAACGAATGATTAAAGTCTTTCTTTAATCAACAGCAGAGCTTCAAATTTTCCACCTTTTATGCTGTGAAAAACTTGTTCTTAGTTCTGGGTAAACTAGTACTACAGCGTGATGGAAATAATCCGCGCCACTGTCTTAGCTAGTCACTGTTACGAAGAAATTATACGAATACTGCGTAATTCTGGATAACCTACCACCCATAGTAATCCAATAAATTCCGTTGGCTGCGTTTCTCGAGTCAGTCTTAATTTTTTTGCACGAAGAACTTGGGTTTTTCCTGGAGCCCAAGGAGGATTCTTCGTATTGCAAGGCCTTCCACTCTTTACCATCGCATACGAATATTTTTCCGGCAGTAAACTTCATCTGCCCGGCCTTGTTTGGGTCGCAGTCGAGGTTTATCACTTTGTATGTTTCACCGCAACCAAAGGACGGTGCGATCATACAACACATACACACAGCGCTCAGTAAAATGCTCACACCGACACGATATCCCATCTTCAACCAGTGTTTACGTAAAGAATGAATTTACGCGATTCAGTCAATGTTTTTGAAATTCTTTCACAGATAATGTGACAAAGAACGGTCAGAAAATCTCGCAGCTTATTCTTGTTTTGGATCATCCATAATTAGCATTTAATGTCACTTCCGCTGACGAACACCGCTAGCTTCAACTCGTTCCTGCCAAGGTTTGGGATGACGAGAACAAATTCCGACGACTTTCGAACTTCTATTTGTATTTAACATCCTCGTGGAATTTAGTCTGTTGTGGTAAAATGTTTTGTGATGATACTGATGGGTAAATGCAGGTTTGGTTCACGATCATAATCATCGTCAATTTGGATCGATGAGAATAAAAGTGAATTGCTTACTTCAAGAGTCGGTTTTAATGATCTGTCATTAAAAAAAATGGCCACCAATCGTTGCAAAATGAACCACAGAAGAAAGACACGTAAATTCAAAGTACATTGGTTGGGACAGGAAGTTGCTGACTACCCTTGAGAACACACATTCTATNACTCCATGTTACCGCGCGTTTCCTCAGAAGTAGGGACCTTAAGCAGACTTTGATTAAAAAATGAATTTCTACTTTTAATTAGAATCTCAAAAATTGGCTGCATGCTTTTACCGTCTCATACTGCGCCACACATCAACTTCAACATGGCGTACAAATAAAGCATCAAGTTCCAAATGGAAATTAAAATAATTTCGCGGACGACGAAAATTTTGGTGATTTCACATTGTTGTTTTTGCGTAGGACGGCTAAGAAATGTACAAAGTTTTAAAACGCACGTGCTGAGCTATTGTTCTGCCGATTAGATCTTTTGCTTTTCCGCGTCCTCGTTGCCGTTGCCGTCGAGGTTTGCTTAGGGTCCCGTCAGATGACCTCAAATGTTGTACTGAACTAAGTTTATTGTAGCAGCATTCACTTGTAAATCTTATTTTTCTTAATGAGATCCATAAAAATACCTTAACGCAGATAAACCACCAACACATCAGCTTCTGCGACTTTTCCTGCAATTACATCAATAAATGGAATCGGAAAAATGAAATAAAATGCGGTGAGCAAAAAAAGGTCAAATGCCCAACCTGATACGTAAAACGTAGATTGGGCTTAAGTAAGTTATCAAGGATAATCACTGTACTGCCTTTAGGAGTCGCTCCTTATTAAGAATATTACACGCTGTTTTATAAAGTAGTTGAGTTTTTGGGGTTTCAGAGTTCTTTCTGTCGGTAAAATTATACCATAACAACGTATCACTAATACTTCTCAGGGCTAAGGCGATGACGCCTTACCGTGGTGATTCCAATTAGTATATCCCTGCAGTTTGCTGTAAAGGATGACATCTTGTCGAGGATCGAAGCGCTTCTCCCATTCACAGTGATGGGCGGTGATTCCCATCCATCCGGCATCGTTAGGACAGCCACCATAATTTCTGTTGATGAAGAAGTTGCGATTGTCACTCGACATAGAAAAGACGTTCTTTGGCTGGGATTTCATGTCTTTCCAGGAGCTGTCGATTAGTCTAGGGGCCGCAAACCAATTCAATTTGTCTGACCCCGTCGCGTTGAACTTCACCTCCTTCACGATATTTCCTCCGGTATAGAGAACAACTCTTGCCTGTTTTAAAACAGAACATTTGTTAGCTGGTGAAGGGAAAGGAGTGGAAAGTCCTCCATTAACAAGTAAAACTCGAAAAAAGTAGCGAGAATGATAGAGGAACTCATTCATTAGATCAGCATTTTAATGTCACAAATTCACTTGACAACTACTCTAGTAGAAGCCATGACTTTGTTAAAGCAGTTCAGTTTCATCTGATTTGGTTTTCTTTTTTTTTTTGCCTTCCCTCTCCCCCTCGCTTTGTCACTCGTCTCAGATCTTCCAGCCGTCTAATATGGCGACCAAATATCTTGCGCTTGAAAACACAAACTGCCGCTTGCAAGAAGGCTATGGCGAAACAGTCCGTTTTACAGTTGTGGGCTTGGTGCCCAAGCCTTTGAACAGGAGTGAGGCAAAGGGTGACCCTGCTGTGATAGAGACCTGTATCTAGTTAGCATGAAAACAAAGTAATTTGCATTTGAAAAGCAGCAACATCTCTATCATAACAAGGTCACCCTAAGCCTCACTCCGGTTCAAAGGCTTGGCCACCAAGCCCACAGCTGTAAAAAGGACTATTGGACGAAATTATGACTAAGCTTGAAAAGAAAAACACCCGGCACACAAAGCATGTGTGCCAGACACAAAGCAAACAAAGCATATATTTTACTGGCACACAAAGCATGTGTACTACTGGCACACAAAGCATATGTGCCAGTAGGCCATATGCTAGTTGCTTTCTTTTTACGTGAAAATGAACTCTAAGGAATATGAAATAAAGTGCAGCTACCTGGAATGACAAGAACAGCCCAATAAATGAGGCATGACGCACAAAGGGCCGGCTATTTACACCAGGCCTAACCCAGACCACAGTTTCACGTCAGTAATCAGTGGGCCCTAGGCTTTCTTTATAAGAAGGTTGATTTAATTAAATAATTATCCTTTCACTGTTAGCTTTCAGCCCTTTTTGACACTGCTCGCAAAATTAAATGTTCAGCTAAACAGAGGATTGTTTAGGACGCGGTTTGTTAAACAACGGCTAAAGTTTGTTTTAACAAAAGGCCCAAACTGTCTTGTCAATACTCAAATCTGGCAAGATATAACCAATTACGTTTGAAAATTATACAATAATTTGGACTAGGTTAAATACATTATATCCCAGTTACCTCAGAGGCGTGGAAGTCAGCCCAGTTCAACACTATTCTGTTCTTGTAATGATCTTTGTGATTGTTGGTCACATCCAGAGCGGCCATTACTTTCTCGGAAGAGGTGTGTGGCGAGTTGTATGTAGGGTACGCTTTTTTATTGATTCCACTCACAGCCTTAAACACCATGGTCCAGCCTGTTCATTTATGAGCAATAAAGCATTTTAAAGGCATTTTACTGCAGTGGCAGGAGTTTCAAATGAGTCGCAATTTTACCACAGAAGGATATGCTTATATGTTCCAAGGGCATGTGGGCTCCATTACAAACATGGTACGCTTCTAGAAATTGGTTGCCATGAAAAAAAATATATGTTGCTGTTATAGAATTAGCGCTTGGACAACAATATATCTCCTCACCTTTATTTGAACGGTTTCATGAAGCAGGAAAGCTTATCCATACAAACTACTCGAGATGAATTTTAAAAAAAGGGAAGATTCCTACTGGTGAAGATGCGAGGACTCCATCTTGCACGTTATTCTCGAAGCACTCGGACGATTCTCTCATATGAACTAAATTAAATCCTTCAGGAAGATGATTTTAAACATGAATTTATGTAGTAATGAATTTCTCCTCTGGTACTTACCTCCAGCGTCCATGTCACAGTAAACTGGGAAAGAATCTTTGCTGTCTGTTAGTGACAATAAAAAACAAAAATTACCACTCGAACCTATAGACGTTTACAGGCGAGAGGATTTATTATTTTTCAGAAACTACAACCGAAGGTTGTTAAAAGCTTATTATTAGTACCATAGGTTAAAATTCCCCTATTAAACTGATGCCGGGTTAGGTGGTTTAACTCTACTCCTTTGTTCCTTTACACAAGGCTCAGATAGCACATTATTTGATCAGCGAAAGTTTCTCAGCCAAACAAATAGTTGTGAAAGTTATTTCACGTTCTCTTTCAACCTTACGTGGAAGGCGAATGGAGAAAAAAATTGCCAAACGGACAACATGAAGTGATTATCAGAACCCGGGCTGGATAGTCATCACAGTCGGGTCGATCATGCCCATAGTTTGACATGGATTTGAAGCCTGAGCCTTCCCCAAAACACCATTGATCATGCACTGTGAATACCCGACAAAGAAATCAACTTCGCTCAGAACATTTCATAGGAGTTAGGAGCATCAGTAGATTAAACCTTACCAGTCAAAGTGATCCAGTAAATGCCGTTGGTCGCGCCCTTCAAGTGAGCCTTGATGTCTTTGCACGAAAATCGAGGGTCACGTCTGGAACCCAATGGTGCTTCGTACTGCAGCGCCCTCCACTCACTACCATCACACACGTATACTATCCCTTCTTTAAACGTCATCTGACCAGCTCTTAACGGCTCGCATTCGCAGTCATACTGGCCAATCCTGAAAACATACTGATGCGTTTCGAATGTCCCACATGATGACTGAGGGCACCCGATTGCGAAGCACGTCATGGTGGCAAGAGCGACACTCAAACTCATTAGGTGTTTCATTTCAGCATGCGCACTATCTATGAAGAAATGAATCGATTCCCATAAATAGTTCATTGTTTGCAGTTATCGTCAAAGTTTCGTCACAATTTTATTCCACAGTAAGGCAGACACTGGATTTAAGAAACAGAATTGATAACTAATCATAACGATTTAATGTAAAATATTTTGTCGCAAGATTTAGTCACTATGAATTGCAGAGTTAAGATATCAATTTAAGATCGCTGATTTTCTAATGCTACACAACTACCCTTTGTTAGGTGAAGAGTTAGAAATGATTACGCGTCGCTACTAATTGAGCATGATGGGTGGCTGCTATTGGTGCGTTTTGGCGCACTCTCGTTGGAGCATTTCAATCTTTATTTCTATTCCGAGAGGCTGGTGTTTTTCCCTCAGATTTCCATTTTGACAAGGGACCAGCTGTTGTGCTTCTTGATTGTAGACACTTATGCTTCGGGAATGACGCCTCGAGGTCCCTTTTAATGTTACGTTGTTCAACGGATAAATCGCTATCCAGCGGATAAGCGTTACCAAAACGTATTGCGCTATGCAGCGGATGGATATTTCTCCAACGGTTAGCGTTATTTACCCTTCGAAAAACCGGGGCCTGAAGTCTAATTTGGATGCGCAGCGTAGAACCAAAAATTGAAAAACCCATTTATAATGTTGTAAATAACGTAATTCCTTGAACGCAAACTAATAACTTTAACTGACTTTGCGGAGAAGCGGAATATTAACCATTAACGCGCTGGACTCCAGTTCGAGAGGTCCAGATTCAAAA